TCCTGTTAAACCGCTGTATGGTCTTGGCCACCGTGCTGCAGCTCAGTTTCAGGGTCTTGGCAATCTTCTTATAGCCTACGCCATCTTTATGTAGAGCAACAATTCATTTTTTCAGATCCTCAGAGAGTTCTTTGCCATGAGGTGCCATGTTGAACTTCCAGTGACCAGTATGAGAGAGTGACAGCGATAACACCAAATTTAACACACCTGCTCCCCATTCACACCTGAGACCTTGTAACACTAATGAGTCACATGACACCGGGGAGAGAAAATGGCTAATTGGCCAACTTGGACATTTTCACTTAAGGGTGTACTCACTTTTGTGGCCAACGGTTTAGACATTAATGGCTGTGTGTTGAGTTATTTTGAGGGGACAGCAAATTTACACTTATACAAGCTGTACACACACTACTTTACATTGTAGCAAAGTGTAATTTCTTCAGTGTTGTCACATGAAAAGATATAATAAAATATTTACAAAAATGTGAGGGGTGTACTCCTGTGAGATACTGATGATGTCCATAATGATGTACATTATGTGGAAAATAATGTGTTTTTTTTTACCCTAAACCGCATAAACACATTGCATTACACCAAAATACACAACACAATGTTCTTTTTAGCAACGTCATATGACCCCTTTAAGACATCTTAGGATAATAGTTATATATAATTACTAAAATGTATATTTCGTCTTTAAATTATTTTATCATATACAGCGAAACAGTAAAAAAAAAAAAAAGACTAGCTCGAGCTGCGAGGTTTCTCTGAATAACAGCGCGTATAGCTACACCCGGCTAACCAGAGCCCTAAACTAGGTCTGTATAAAAGGTGTTTGTCCCACCCACCAATGTCCAAAGCAAACCTACACCCTTGGAGAGACGTTATAGTAGTGTATGAGAGAGAGCTTGATAGTGTAAAGTTTGAATGTCCTCTCATACCACAGTGGCCGTGCCTCTGCGACTGCGTTAGAAGCTCCGGCAGCCAGAGAAACAACGTGAGACGCGGGTTTAGGACTGAACATGCGCAGCTGGTCCAGCATGAAATAAGCTTTTTATTTGAGCATAAGAGACAACATTTATGGGGTAATTCGAATCAGGGTTTGTTTTTTTGCTGGTTTGAAATATGTCATTTAAATGTATGTCAAGCAGATTTTAAGATGTCATGATTTCCCCATTCAAATAGATAGGGCTTGGTATTGAATGGCCAAAATATCTGCCCGGATGCTTTCAAATATTGCTGCAGGGGGAAGACTTTCGTTGTAAAGGTCTTGGATGGATATCGATTAATATACAAACAATTCAAATAAGTTATCATTGACAAATTTCCAAATATCAGTGTTTAAAGACCTACAATTTGTGAGAGCTGTTAAAACGTAATGTGTTCTCATATTCACCCAGCAAACATAACTACGGTGAAAAAAACAAAAAACTTTTTTTTCACGTTGTGAAAAGTTGTGATAACGTTTTTATCAGATGTCGTTTTTTTTTAATAAATACGTTTTTTCACAACGTTAAAGAAACGTATTTATAACGTTTTTATCACGTATAGTCATGTCTCCTTGCAGCGTTTGAGAACTTACCATGTCCAAACTGGTATTTCACATGCTGTTATCAAAATGCAGTCAAAAGAGGGAGCTAAAGCAACATCACCTGCATTAGGAGAGTCATGTTGCTGTACAATGTCATCCTATGAAAACAGTATGGTATGAAAACACCATACTATGAAAATGCTAAAAAATAAAAATGATAATGAATGTATTTTATTTGCATACATTTTACTGGGAGGAGACCATTTCATGAACCCATCAGCAGATGAACAAACAAATTATTTTGATCACTATCACTATGATTACCATCAGAGACATTTAGTCAGAGTTCAGCGAGGAAAGTGAGCTGCTATATTGTAAGTCTGTTGACATTTCCTGATCAGACACACAGATAACTGAACAATATAGAGGCTTTCACAGGAGCTCCTAGTGATGATGATCAGATCAAATCTTAATTCAAATCAAAAACAGGATCAGGCAGTGATCACATAACTCATACAATAGTTTAGGAAAATATATTTGAACTGATTATTGAAATATAGAATATTTAATATACACTTTTCAAAAAAAAAAAAACCTGAAGTCTCCACCAATCAGTTTTATATCAGTTTTAAGACATTTACCCCTATAAAATAACACACAGCAGGGTCTTAAATAGATATTTGTACACCATTAAACCAGAGTCCAAATGAAACAAACGACACACCTGAATCTGATTTTAACATCTGAAAAAAAGACTGTGGAGATACTTGATCAGGCCAAACATCTGTAGATCACGAGGTTAAACAGACATGAATACAACAATGGGTTAAAATGGTTGTGATGAGAGATCAAAGCTCAAACTAAGAGCAGAATGGAATATGAGCTGAAAGGACTAAGGTTCACACTTTTATTTTTGCAACTGTGTGATTGTCTCCTTTTTTCTTTTCAGCTTCTCAATTCACACGCAATGCTTTTTTTTTTCCACTTCAGGACTTCTTCATCTTACAAATGGTTGTCCAAAGCAAAAATGCTTCAAAATGCATAAAGTGATGCAGTGGGACATGCTAGAGCGAAAAATTGCTATTTTTGCCATCAGCACTCCAAAATGAGTAAGAATGCAATCTACATAACTATGCCTCAATGAAATCCTGTGTAAACTTGGAAAACCCTTCAAATGATGGTGAGAAATCCATCACTTTTATGAACTTTTTAATGTGCATATGTTTGAATTCACATAAAACATGTGATTTCACCTCCTGCCCCGTTGTTGAGGTGTAAAAAGTTACTAACCCCAAAACAGAATCACAGTTTGATCAAGAGTTGGTCAGTGTCTTGAGAATCCAGCGTAAACCACATTATCCTGCTATTGACGCCTCTGAAAGAAAACACAAAAGCATTTTCACGGATGTTTTTTTTTAATGAAGACTTCTAAAATGTAACCCTATATTATAAAATGTCTATATATTCATTCTTGTTAAAAAAACATTTTTTTAGCACTCTAACTAATTTAATTTAATACAGTAGCTTTCTAGTTTTTTGAGTTTTTGTGAAAGTTGGAGCAAAACTCTGCAGGACTGTGGCCACCCCTGTTCTAGTGCGTAACCTGTACACACAGTTCAGTAATTTACGGGAGTGATAATCGCATTCTAAAACCGAATTAACTTAAGATGACCTTAAAAATTCGACACAGTGTGTACGGAACCGAACAACTAGTTGTTAATGATTAAAACGCGTGTTTAAATGTGTATCAGAGTCGAAATAACGGAACGAGGTAGCCTACGTCTTGACACATGTTGCCAGATCTTACTATCAAAATAAGCACAAATAAGAACAAGCCCATAAAAAACTTTAACCCAAATGCTTTATCTTGGAAATAAGCAATATATGAAAGTACTAAGCATTTTAATACGCGTTGGTTATTTATAATAAGTGGACTAGGCAACCCTTCAAGAACGCTCTCTGTGAAGCAGCCGTCTAAACATTATCCCCCAGTTTCACAGACAAGGCTTAAGGCTAGTCCCAGACTAAAATGCATGTTTGAGCTGTCTTAACTGAAAATATCTTGCTCTGACATATCCTACAATATGTCAGTGAGTGCCATTGTTCTGCAACCACCCTTACGAAAATTAACCATGGTTGTATTGTAGTAAAAGTGTAGTAACCATGTTTTTGATCACATTGATTACTATAGTATATTTGTATAACCACAGTTTTACTACAAATAGCATGGTTAAACTATGATTAGTGTAAAATCATGGTTAATTTGTGGTTGCCATGGTTTAACTATAGTGACCATGTTTTATTGGTTTTGTTTGTAGTAAAACCGTGGTTAATTTTTGTAAGGGTAAATGCGCGAGATGCCAGAACATTGCTATATGAGTGAGTTGTGTTCCATACAGACATAAAAAAACGCAAATTTAGAGCAGGGGTGTCAAACTCAGTTTCTGGAGCTTTAGAGGATTCACTCCCTTGTTTACATGCGGATGTGACTCCTGAAACTTCACAGTGTGTACGTGGCTTAAATGTATCTGGTATTCCTCTACATAAAGGTCTTCTGTGACTCTACAATATAAAACCCATCAGAGGAAAAGACAAAGGGACACTGGAATACATCTACAGCTTTTATAGGCTAAATGTCATTTGTGGTGCTGTTGTGTTTGTTAATCATTAAAAACACTCCTTAATCTGAGTCAAATAATACAGACACACCATACACAGAAATAAATTCACCTACCAATTTCTGTGCTTTTCTTTTTTGGAATGTTGGATCAGCGTAAGTGATCTCTGCACCAGTCTCAACTGTTTCAACAATAATTACAGAAACAAAACACTAAATGAAATGATGTCTGAGAGTTAGATATAATAAAAGAGGTAGGTATATAATACTTGCCTTCTTGGTCTATTTTTCTGTGTTTCCTGCAGATGCAGAAGATCCCAACTGCAGCTGTACCAGGAGAGAGTCATATGACCCACATTCACCACTGAACACAGCAGCACACATCTGGACGCTGATAATCCTGATGATAATGATGATGGTGGATTTTGTGAAGAGTTACTGCTGATGACAGGAACAGGCAGACGAGCTGGAAAAAAGAGAATAAATGTAATTAACAGATGTTTATATTTGTTAGAATTGAATTGCTCAGTCAAAGCTCATCACACACATAAGTCAATGTTGATGCTGACAGTCTTGATCCTGATCTAAACCCCTCTCTCAACAGAAGGATTTTAAAAAATGGCTAAAAATGTCATTTTATATGTTATGGAAATGTTCATGAATTCCGAAGAAAAGAAAAAATTACATACAATGAACAGTGGGTCTGACTAATTCACTTCTTTCTTTCTTTTTTTTTATTTAGAAGACATTTTAGTATGAAAGTGTGAAAAGTAGGCCTACTTTTAACTCACCATAGATAGTGATATTGAATGTGTTGAGCGGCGTCTCTGTTCTGGTGCTGGTGACTGTATAAAGTCCAGAGTCTGTGGTTCTGATTTTTGTGATGCTCAGAGATCCAGTCTGATGATCCAGCTGCAGTCTGCCTCTAAATCCCTCATCAAAAAACTCTCCCTTATTGTCTTTTCCATTGATTTTAGCTATGAGAACGAGTCCAAATGTCCACATTATCAGATCATCTCTCTGTATTTGAGTAATATCAGTGTTCAGAGTGACTGAATCTCCCTCCATCACTGACACTGACTCACCAAACACACCTGATGAACAAACAGGAATATTTACTCAATAAAAGACATATATAGTCATAGCTATTTAAAAAGGTCATTACAAAACAATCCTTTACTCTGCACTAATACCTATTGAAGGGGACAGCAGCACGAATGCTAAGTATTTGAGTATATTACTCTGATACAGTATTAGGAATATATATAGGCAAAATATTAGAGACAACACGAATGATGGAAATATCAGAATTATGTTTGAGGACAAATTAAGATATAAACAGAACTGAAGCCATACAAATACTTACCAGCCAGACTGCATGAGAACAAACAGATGAAAATAAACATTTTCTTCAGCAGTTCGCAAAACAGTTTAAAAACAAAACTGTGATAATAATCGGGCCCTCCTGACACTCTTGAAAGTGAATGAAGCTGTCGGTCTGTAATGAAGAGGTTTAGTAAAGCTCTGCAGTGAGTGTTGAAAAAATCCTCCTGTAGCTCCTCCCTTCACTGACTGAATATGACTATTCAAAATGACACTGTTTGATCTACAGAAAGAAGAGAATAAATAAAAGAGTATTTATTATTACTGTTTTGTTGTTAATATTGATAATAATAGTAATAATTGTATTTTACAGAACAACAGTAAAAATACAAGTCATATTTATGGATGTCTTATTTTTTTATCGTTACTCTATAAATTTATTTATTACTAAAGTTACATCACAGAGATTTTATTTTGTCAGGAATAGGAGACCTTAAATCTTCTTGTTTGATGAATACAGATTTTTAAACGATTCCCATAATAAATTTGGGAACATGGTTAGCTCGCGCTGCTTTTTCAGAGATGTAGATTAGCATTTGCTGTGGTTCTACTGTGATATATTAGGAGATTTTTCATTTGAAAGATCAAAAACACACTATGTAAAATGTTCTTGTGTATGGAACTGTTATAATATCTAAATCAGTATCACATTTACAGTCTTGCTGATAATCAGGGTAAATAGCACTCCTGATATTGCTTAAATAAGATATTATCGGTATAAACATCAGGAACTCGTTATTGTTGGGTTTGTTTGTTTTTTGCACCCCTTAAACCTGAATTTTGGAGGCACTTTTTGGCCTAAACCCTTGTTAATTTCAGACCTTGGAGTGCATCAATCCAGATCCAAAAGGAGTTAAACAACAGAAAAATTTCATTTTGAGAAAGGAAACATTGTAAAAAATTTAAAATGCCGGCTAGACATAAGCCAGTTCTTACACTTTAATAATTACTGAAATAGGTCTGTCTGTGTGGGAGGAGCTACTGGAGGAGTTTGTTCATTGACTGTTTCACTAAACCACTTTACACATTTGACTTTTTCAAGACTGTTGGGAAACTGGTTGGAGAACGGTTTAAGAAAATGTTTATTTTAATTTGTTTTTGCTCATGGAGTCTGGCTAGTAAGTGTTTTTATTTTCTTTCTTTTTTTCAGTATTCTTTATATTTTAATTTGCTTACCTGCACATGATTATGTTCTTTATTGATTCCATCATTAATTTTGCCTCTAATATTGTACATTTTCCATCATCCCCTTGGGTACATAGTAACATTCCAAATGTGAATGTAAATCTCTAATAAGTAAATATTTGTGTGTTCTTCAGGCGTGTTTGGTGTTGATGCAGTGAAGTCAGTGTCAGTGATGGAGGGAGATTCAGTCACTCTAAACACTGATGTTACTGAAATACAGAGAGATGATCTGATAATGTGGACATTTGGACTCGTTCTCATAGCTAAAATCAATGGAAAAGACAATAAGAGAGAGTTTTTTGATGAGGGATTTAGAGGCAGACTGCAGCTGGATCTTCAGACTGGATCTCTGATCATCACAAACACCAGAACCACAGACTCTGGACTTTATACAGTCACCAGCAGCAGAACAGAGACGCCGCTCAACACATTCAATCTTACTGTCTATGGTAGAACTACCCTGCTTTATATACATCTTTTGACAACAAACACTATCAGAATTATTCACAGTATTATAAAATGATAGACAATTCTGTGATTTATTTGTGCATTTTATGCATTCTTGTACTTAAATATATTTATAATCAGCATTTCCTAACATTAGTTTCTCTGCTACTTTCATTCAATTTTAAATATTAATGAATTTATAAATATATCAGCTCTCTTATTTACTGAATTAGCTTTACTCTTCAATATCTTCCAGCTCGTCCACCTGTTCCAGTCATCAGCAGAGACTGTTCATCATCTTCATCACAGCAGAATTGTTCACTGCTGTGTTCAGTGGTGAATGTGAGTTATGTGACTCTCTCCTGGTACAAAGGAAACAGTTTATTGTCCAGCATCAGTGTGTCTGATCTCAGCATCAGTCTCTCTCTACCTCTGGAGGTGGAATATCAGGATAACAACACCTACAGCTGTGTGCTCAACAATCTCATCAGCAACCAGACTCAACACCTGGACATCAGCGAACTCTGTCACACATGTCCAGGTTTGTCAGTGGCACTACATATATATACTGTATATATTTAAAATAATTACAGTCTTGCTCGCCAGAACTCCGGTCTGATGCACGCGGGTTCTCGCGTTATTTCCTTATCACTTCTCGTGTGTGTTTTGTTGTGAAACGTAGTTTGCGGACCAGACAGAGCTGTCGGCGATTCTTCCTATTGTTAAGTCATGCAGTGTGAAACCCCCTGTCGCCGATCCATCGTGCAATGTGAACACAGCAGCAACTGAATGCTACCCCAGATAGTCACGCAGTGTGAAAACAAAGGCGATCCGACGAGTTTGAAAATCGTGCAGTGTGAACTCGGCATAAGAGACCATAGGTGTTCTTATCACGATTCAGTCAACCAATCATATCACAGCAGAATTGTCTACAGGCGCTCTGCTGCTATTCCTGCAGATCCCGGATGTGCAATGGCTAATTTTCTGCTGAATTTTAACCACTGAATTTGTGGAAGCGAATTTGCAAAGTGAAATAAAATGGACCGAAATTTGCCTGTCGAATATTATACATCGTATTTTTAAACAGATTGAATATTTTGGAAGTTAATTCTGGAAGGTGAATATGAATTATTGAATTTTTAATTATGAAAATGTGTGTGAAATCTTTTTAATTGAAATATTCACAGCTTAAATGAACAACTATGTTAAATTTCAGGACCTAAAAATGCAAGCCCTGGAAATACAAGGCATTAAAATGCAAGCACTGTTAATGCAATGCATTATTGTTTCAGTTAGTGCTATTCAACATGCTTTTTTGTTTCAAAGACATATGGCATTATTCTACTTCCATAGGACCGGCTGAAGTTGGACGTGCACTGTGGGCAGACGCAACTAATTGATAATTAGAATCGTTGTCGATGATTTTCATTATCGTTAATAATCGATTTTATCGATTAGTTGTTGCAGCCCTAATTCAGACCGGGTCTGGGAAAAAAATGAAGTTGAGGTTTGCATGAAGCTGGATGACAGCATGCCCAGGAGACTACAGGCTGTCATTAAGGCTAAGGGTTGCCCGACTAAGTATTGATAGTTGTGTAAATACTGTCATACTAACAGCTGTCTGAATTATTTTTGGTTGATTGTAATCCATTACATACCTTCCTATCAAAGTTATCTAACATTATCAAGCTGAATTTGTTCTGACACAGTTTAACACAGTTTAAAATATGAGTTCTTGTCATATTTTATTACCATTTTCTAAACTATAGCGAATAAACTGTGATAATGTGAGAAATGTTGAAGGTGTCTGAATACCTTTTGGTTTGACTGTATCTATTTGATAAATGAAGTTAAACAACTAACATTATACATACTCTTTTGGTTTTTGTACCCAATATTTAAATTTAGAAATGCAAAAAAAATATTGGTATCGGTACTCGGTATCGGCAAGTACCAAAATAAAAGTATCGGTATCGGCAAGTACCAAAAGTAAAAGTATCGGTATCGGGCGAGTACTGGAAAAAGTGGTATCGGTGCATCCCTAATATATATATATTTTTTCTTTCTTTCTTTTCTCACAAACTAAATGAACCACATTTCACATTTTACATGTGTTGCTCATTTCTTCTCTCAGAAGTCTGTATCTGCTGCTGTGGTTTTACTGAAGCTGTGATCCGATTGGCTCTCTCTGCTCTGGTGGGCGTGGCTACTGTTGCTGTGCTGGTTTATGACATCAGATCCAGATGTCTTCAACAGCAGAAATCACAATCAAGTGCTGATTAATCAGATAGTCAGCAAGGTGGAGATGTTTTTGAACTACTTTGAGTATAGGCCAGGGGTGGCGATCTCCGGTCCTGGAGAGCCGCACGGTCCTGCAGAGTTCAGCTCCAACCCTAATTAAAACTCACCTGCCTGTAGCTTCCTAGTAACCCTTTAGGCCTTGATTAGCTTGTTCAGGTGCATGTGTTTGAGTAGGGTTGAAGCACTTGTTGAAGCAAAACTTCGCCACCCCTGGTATAGGCCTAATATCACCCATAAATATATATGAATAAATGTAATTTAAGTGATTATTAATTCATTTTATGTAATGCAAATGCTCTAATAAATTAGTTTTCCCTTAAAAACCCATCATGATTAATCAGACAATAAAGAAAGCTAATGTTTTTCTATGTATTCTGTTGTATTATTGTTAGATGAGTTGAAGGCTCAAAGACTCCCACTCAATGAGAAAATGATCTGTACACTTGTAAATATCTTTTTGTATTTGTAATGGTACAAAAGGCACATAAGTCATGTTTAAAACAGTAAAAATGCAGAAGAAAGTAATAGGCCTATTGATTTATTAGAATTCAACTGTCTCAGTTTTCTCCAATTATTATTCTTTTTTTTTAAACGGTGTCATTCTAACAAGCACTCAATATTTTTCAACAACAAAGTTCTATAACCTTCGAAAAGTTTCAAAGAAGCAAATTCGAATGCCATTGCTCGGTATAAAAAGCAAACTTTCCAATGCACTGGTCAGTTTCTGCTTTGGTTTTCACACTTTATCTTTCTCACACACATCTACATGCATAAAAAAAGCAGAGGTAACGGAAGCTTTTTGACACTTTTGGCTCCTGCGAGCTTTAGCTTCTGTAAGACAGCTTATCAGCTTTTATTTTAGCAGAAGCACATTTAAACCGCAGTGTGTTTACAGTTAAAGTGTCTCTACACTTCTGTTCTTCTCTCCGCTCTCTATCTTCTATCTGCTTTCAATTGATCACTTGCTATTTTTGCACAAATATACACAGCAAACCCCTGTGTTAAATGAACACTGTTCAGTGTTTATATAATCCACTCAGAGTGTTAAAACGTAACACTAAGGCCGGTTCCATAGACAGGGCTTAGCCTAAACCAGGATTAGGTCATAGTTCAATCAGGACATTTAAGTAATTTTTATAATCATGCCTTAGAAAAAAAGCATTACTGGTGTGCATCTTAAGACAAAACAAAGGCACTGACACATTTTAAGATCAGTCAGTGCAAGTTTCTTTCAGTTGAAACAGCTCAGATTTTCATTTTAGTCTAGGACTAGGCTTAAGCCTTGTCTGTGAAACCGGGGGTAAGTAGTGTTAAAGTTAATGAGATATAGTGATTGCTAAATGCTCAAGTGATGATTGAGCATTAATGATGAACTCCTGTTAACAAGCAAAAGGAATGAAAGGGAAACAAGAAGAACAGAAAAAGACAAGAGCAGAAACAACAACTACCAACTGACTTCCAGCCACAGACTTTAAGGACTGCAAATCAACTGCAAATAAAAGAAAACTTTAAATTTTTCAAGATCTCAAAACAACTCCAAAACAGCATTACCAGCTTCACTTATTACTAACCAGTCTGACTTGGTGAAAATCAGGGGCTATTCCAGAATTTTCATTTTAGGGGGGCTCAGCCCCCAATGAGGATATATATATATATATATATACATACAGTATCTCACAGAAGTGAGTACACCCCTCACATTTTTGTAAATATTTTATTATATCTTTTCATGTGACAACACTGAAGAAATGACACTTTGCTACAATGTAAAGTAGTGAGTGTACAGCTTGTGCGCATCTTGTCAGAAAGCCGGTTCTGTAATCAGCGGTAAATCTCCATCACGTACGAGCCGTTGTTCACTGACGAGCTGCGCAAAAAAAACGCGCGAATATGAACGTGGTTTTGTGCAGCTCGTCAGTGAACAACGGCTCTGTGTAGTTAATGCTGCTCCATGTGAAAGCATGCACGTGATGGAGAGTTACCGCTGATTACAGAACCGGCTTTCTGACAAAATGTGCATTAAATATAACAAGCGATTTATCGTGCAGCCCTAATGGCTACACAAAATATTGACACTTTGGGCCCAATTTGGACATTTTCACTTAGGGGAAACAGCGCGCATCTGAAGTGTCTCTGAAGGAAATAATGCATTATTTATCGGCTTTAAGATATCGGCCAAATTTTCTTATTGGGCCGATACCGATAACAGAAAAAATGAGCATATATCGGCCGATACCGATATGGTGGCCGATATATCGTGCATCCCTAATATATATATATTCAATTGAAAATGACAACATCGTTTTATAAAGTATATGCGTTAATATGTGCTTCATTTTCACTGGAGGAAACCTGTGGTGTGATGAGGGGTGAACAGCGAAAACTTAGGTTGCAGTAGATGAGGAATCGATTGCTCCATTATGATATTTTGTATTAATTGTATTTATGACAAAGAACTGCACAGATGGAGATATTATAATCTATAAAAAAAAACACACCTTGTGCTGTTTTTCGCTCTGCACCGCTGCAGTCTGTGGATTGAAAAAGAACGCGCTGAAAGACGGGGAGGAGCCGATCGAAGTCTGCTGCCGTTTTCACATGAAATTTAAAGGGAACTAGCCTATAGGGTATAGCCCCCCTAAAAATGGCCTAGCGACGCCCATGGTGAAAATCAACAAAATATTCAGATAAACAGATTAACTCTGAAGTCTGAACATCACAAAACAAGATGCTAGGTCAGGAAAAAATTTTTTTTACTTCATACATCTACAAAAGTTCTTATTGAGAATTAACAGGTTTAGCTAGTCAGTGTTGATGTTTTATTCAAAATGCTTCCTATAGTTGGGCTCTCGACTTATGTTAGGATTTTTTGGTTGCTTATACAGTGTGTTTATAAGGCACATTTATTGTGGAAAAATAGAGCCAAAGTAAATTGAAATCAGATGATGTTGCCTACGTTATTGATACAGTGGTCTGATCCACTGATCATAGTTGAGCAATTACTACTCTGTATTTTTCACTATTAACCCTGTGATGCCAGCATGGTCTCGATGTTTATACAGGTATTAGTATGACAGATGCACTTTTGTAATTTTATAGATGAACGATTTAGATTTATACGTTTCTTGTACCTCATTTTTAACTAACAATCTTTAACGTCCTTGGAACTCATTAAACTTAAATGTCCTCTCTTTTTTTCAGCATTTGAATCTTATTAGTCACTCAATTACATAGTCTCTAAGTCTTTCAGGCAATTTGATTTGTCACTGAGGCCTGCACGGTTTAGGAGTTTGTTCCTCTTCCTGAATTGTTTCACAGTTCATTTTGCATTCCTCTGCAGTTCCTTTTTGTTCCTCATCTGAATTTGGCTTTTGAGCACATTTCATATCACGATTCACTGTTGGTGTTTCCACTGAATGAAACTTCTTGACGAATGTTGTGTTCCGAGCATATTTCGCTCCAGTGGGTGACTGAACAATAACACTGTTACCTTCTCTGTGTATGACTTTGTGAGGTGTACTGTGAAATGTTGTTGTGAACTTGTCTGTTTTGTCTTGCCTCACAAGCACTTGATCTCCAACCTCTATGTCAGATGTCTTTGCATTCGGTCTGTTTTCTGTGTATATTTTGGCCTTTCCTTTTTGCTCTGCGTCCCTGTCTCGAGCTTCCAGGTCACTGTGGGGTGTTGCAATGTCTGGTAACTTTCCTCTTACCTTCCTCTGAAAAAAGTTCTGCTGGGCTTTTGCCTGTTGTGGAGTGTTGTATGGCTCTGTAGACAGTCACATACTTGCGTAGCTTGCAAAGTCATGGCCTTCAGCTTGGGCAATTTGTACTCGCTTCATAAGTGATGCATTTTGCCTTTCCACTTCCCCATTTGCTTGCGCCCACTTTGGGGTTGTTTTAATGTGATGGATTCCGTTTTCCTGACAAAACGTTTGAAACTGACAGGACTTGAATTGCGGCCCAGAATCTGACCTGATTGTTAAGGGAAGTCCATGCCGACTGAAAATGTCCTCCAAACTGTCAATCACTTTTTCTCCAGTTGTGGATTTGAGGATCACATATTCGTAGTGCCTACTGTAATAGTCAACAACGACCAGGATCGAATGTCCATCAGGTAAAGGACCAAGCAAGTCTGTGGCCAAGTTTTGCCAGGGCCCTTCAGGCATCACTGTGGGTGACAGGGGTTCTGGAACATCTGGTCTCGCTACCAGCTGACAACCATGACACGCCGTCACAAACCTTTCTGCGGCCCTGTCCATTCCGGGGCACCAAACCTTTGTTCTCAGGTGTTGTTTTGTTCCTATTACACCAAGATGACCCTCATGAGCCAACTTTAACGCTCTTCCACGCAGCGACTGTGGCAAAACACTTCTTGTCCATCTGAGTATTATTTGTCCAACAACACATAGCTCACCGGCAATATGTCTGTATGCAGGGCAGTCATCAAAACAACCTGTTTGAATGGCAGTTTTCAGTCTCTGTAATTCCACATAATTTGCTGAGATCTGCTCAACTTCCTTGGTGTCGCACAAACAGCTATGAATCTCACATATTCCTCTGCTTTATGTACATGGGTCGCACCTTTGGCCGATGGCCCCAGCAGGCGTGACAAAGGATCTGCAATGTTGTGCGTTCCGGATATAGGAATCACTCGAAAATCATAGGGCTGTAATCTCGAGACCCACCGTTCGATTCGTGCACATGGTTTTGAACAAGGGCTGTAAATTGCCTCCAATGCCTTGTGGTCTGTGACCAGATCAAACTTCTGACCATACACGTATGGGTGGAGTCGTTCACATGCCCACACCAGTGCAAGTGCTTCGCGCTCTGTTTGCGAATATCTCTGTTCACATTCTGTCAAGCTCCTACTCACATAGCAGACAGGAACCATTCCTCCTCTTTGGTCCTGCACTAGTACTGCTCCGATGCCTGAAGTGAAGTACCCCCACTTCAGGTCTAGTTTGCTGAATATGGCTGAT